GGAGTGCTCTTTAGAGGCGAGGAGGATCAGACTTCGTCTCAGTTACTGTGGGCATGTTAGCAAGAGGAATTAAGTGTTGGAAAAGAACATCTACTTAGAAAAGTATAGGGATAGTGAAGGAGGATTTTCAAGAGATTTACTGACACAAGTGGTTCCAAAAATGGGCACAGTGGAAATTGTGATTGTGCAGGTTCGGGGAGGGTTGAGATCTCTGTATGTATATACTTATATACTCCGTATAATGATTTTATTTTGAAGACTAAGGTGTATCTTATTCAGGCCATGGTCTCCTCTATCACCTGCTAGGTATCATATGATGAATAATGGCAGAAGAATTGATGCCTTTGAGTTCTGGTGCTGGATAAGAGTGTGGATTATCCCATGGACTGCCAAAAAAGTTGTTCTGGAGAGGGTGCAAAGATGGAGGCAAAGATGGCAAAGCTTCACCTTTCATACTTTGGACATGTAGCTAGGCAAGGCTATTCCTTGCAAAGGGACCTCATGCTTGGAAAGATGGACTGTCAGTGAAGGAGAGAAAGATCCTCAAGATGGACTGACCCAGTGACTTCTGCAATGGGCCTCTAGTGTATCAGAGACGAGGATGACCCAAGAATAGGGCAGGGTTCAGCTTGGCGGTTCACAGGGTCGCTGTGAGTAGTGCTCGACTCAATGGCAACTAACATGTATGGTTCATGACTAGGAGCCAACTTGATGGCCCTTAATGTCAACATGGCACCAGGAAAGGCTAGTCCCTGGGGGTCGTCATCTTGCTTGGTAAAGCAAAGCAAAGACGACCTTCAGTGAGATAGACAGTGACTGCAACATCAGCTCAGCCAGCCTCAAATGAGGATGGTGTAGAAGTAGGCAGGACCACAGGACCTCCTGTGGTCCACTGGGCCTCACTGAGTCAGAACTCAGTGGCACCAAATCAGTTACACCTGGAAAACATTTGAAGAGGCCAATTCACCAGACTGAGCATGATGGACGCTTTGTCACTGTTTTAGGATGGACGAGTGGTGAGGAGGGTGCCTTGGTGCTCTGCCCCATGTTTGTTATGTGCCATTGAGTCACTTGTGACTCATAGTGACCCTATGTACAACCCTGCTCTGTCCTGTGCCTATCTCACTGTCTCCAACACACCCACCCCCATTACCCCAGTCACTGGATCAATTCAGTTCGCAGAGGGTCTTCCTCTCCTGCACTGTCCCTCCACTCTTCCAAGCATGACGTCCCTCTCTAAGGACTGGTCCCTCCTTGCAACATGTCCCAAGTACGTCAGACCAAGCTTCAGAATCCTTGCCTCTAAGGAGCAGCCCGGCTTCCCCCTCTCCAGGACAAACCTGTTCATTTCCTTAGCAATCCATGGTATATATTCAATACTCTTCTCCAGCACCACAGATCAAAGGCATCAATACTCCTATCCTCCCTAGTCATTGTCCAGCTGATGCATAGCAAGTGATTGCAAAGACCATGGCCTGTTTCAGACTCACTTTAATTTCTAGAGTGTCATCATTGCTCTTCAGTACTTTAAGAGGTCCCCAACAGCATGACTTTCCCATCACAGTATGTCTTTTAATTTCCTGGCTTTTGGTGTCAAGAGTGTTGACTGTGGAGCCAAGCAAACTAAAGCTGTGAATAATCTCAACTTCTTCACCATCCATCCTGATGCTGCAATTGCTCCAGTGGTGAGAATCTTTGTCTTCTTGATATTGAGCCTCAATCCATATTGAAGGCTGCAGTCTTTGACTTTCTGCAGCAAGTGCTTCAGATCCTGTTTCAGCAAGCAGGATTGTGTCATCTGCATAATGCAGATTGTTGATGTATCTTCCACCAATCCTGATGCCACACTTCTCATACAGCCAAGCCTTCCAGATAGTCTGTTCTGTATATAGGTTGAAAATGTATGGAGATCCCTGGAGTACACCCTTCCCAATTTAATTACCCTCCCAAAGAAAATGCACTCAACTGTCACTTAAACACATATGGACATGTACATACCCGTGTATCACAATCTGTGGGCATCTGTACATCTGTGCACATAAGCTATAGGAAGCATGCATACCTGTGCAGGACCAGAGGCATTTATGTGTGTGGGTACCTGCATGCACAGGCTGGTGTGGGAGTCCGCACAGGGCTGGCCTCCACTGAAAGCAGGCAATTGGTGCCTGGGGCTTCTCCTACCACACCTTGCCTCTCAAAGTCCTGGGGTACCCCCTAGAGCACGGAGAGCTGCAGAGAAAGGTGCAGAGGTGCCTCCAAGGCCTGAGTAGTTGGTTTCCTCTTCTAGTTTTCCCAGCCTCTGGCTGCAGTCCACAGGGAGTTATGCATCAAAGGTGATGCCTCTCCGGCAGTCAGAACCCACCAGTGGCTCCACAGGGGACAAAGATAATCTAATCTCCAGGCTGATTATAGATTCTGAAAACCTGGAGAGTCAGCAAAGTTGGTTCTAAACTGATAGCACAAGTTCAGGGGAAAGTGACAGGCTGAGTGGACAAGGCCAAACTCCTGAGAGGAACCTGCTTGCAGAGTGGGGTAACTCCCTCAATGGCTCTGAGGGAAACAGTGTCTCTCACACTCACAGATGCCTAGGATACCCGCCCTGTGTGCCCTCAACTCACCTCTCATTTCTGAGCTGGGTAAACACATACATTTGACTCACTTGTGAGGTATACTGACTTGTTACAAAGGTCACAGCATCAGGAACAACCCCAAGAGGAGACTGAGCCCTAGCAGCTCCTTAAGGGGTGTCTCATAGCTGCTTTCTTATCAGTGACCCTGGGCAACCTGCTACATGTAGCAGCATACTGCCTTGTGCTAAAGGGTGTCAGAACAGTGTTTGGGTTTTGTTTTTTGACCCTTAAGAGGCTATCTAGGGATAGGGGGACAATGAAGCTTGGGGATGCTGGGAACAGGTCTCTCTCTCTGACTCTCTTGCTGGTTTCTGTGCTCACCACCCCTAGATGTGCCTTACCACCTCCTCCCACCTGTGACTTTACGGGGCACCAAGGAAGCGAAGCCCCTAGCTAGGTAATGTCAGGCACAAGAAGACCAGAGTTCTATGTGGAGATCAGAGTTTTCTCTATGTTTATTGCAACTGCTACGAGATAAACAACATTCACAACAAGAACAATATCCCTCTTTAACACCACAATGTTGTCTAGGTTTACCAAGGACCAAACACTGAGAGCCCTGTGGATCCCAGTGGAAGACGAAGAGCCAGCACTTGGCAGCTGGCCAGCACTTCCTGATGCCTGACGTCCTCTCAGAGACCCTGGAACCAGAGAAGAGAGGAGACAAACGTGACCCCGCAGAGCAGCACTCACTGAGCACACTGAGGGCATGAAAGCAAACCAGGGGCTCCAGTACCTACAACACTGGTCCCCAGAGAATGTCATTCTTGGATCCAGCATTCCTGTCTGTGGGAACTTCCTAGGTGTTTACCCTTTAAAATGTGAGGGTCATAGTTTCAGCACAAACTAAGAGAAATGGTTAAGACAGTGTCCATACCCTGGAAATCCTGCTGCCCCCTGGCCTGCTCTTTTGACTGAACCTGGATCTCAGTTCATCCTCAGGGCTAGATTCTGGCTGCTGAAACCACAGAAACCTCCAGAAACAAGCAGCCATGAGGATTCCTCAACTTAGTGGCTAAAGCTGACCCCATGAAAAACCAGAGATGATTGGCATGGGGTTTGGGTGTGGCCCCATATAACAAGTAAACTAGAGGGCAGGGGCGGCAGCTGCTGCTTCAGTCTTCCAGGCCCACAGTGCTCACACGTATTTAAAACATGAATAGTTGCTTTACAAGAGAGGATTCACAGTCACCGGGAGCAAAGGTGGCAAGTCTGAAGACACTTGAAATAACAAACAGGGGCAGCCCTGCTCCCTTCATCCCAGTGCTCTGGTCTCTTCTAACACAGCTCTGTGGGCACAAGCAGGCATCCTGTGGGCAAGCCTTTGCCCTTCTGCAGAACCTACTGTGGCTCGTAAGGAGACAAGGGCCTCGAGCTGCTAGTGGTTCCCCCACTGACAGGAGTCACAATGAGCTGTGACTCCATCAGCCTCCCTGATGCATCACCCCTTAAAAAACTTCCTAATATAAAGCTCTGGCACACCCAGTCTCTCCACCCACTGCAAGAGCTTCCAAGGCTTGAGGATCACATGCTATCTACACACTGGAGAACAGTAAGAACCCAAGATCTCAATTGTTCTGTGCCCTGTATGTGGTCAGAGCTGGTCCTCTGAATTAGAAAACCTGCCAGAGGTTGGAAGAAAACAGATTCAGAGGTGAGAATCGAAGACTCAGTGCCTACCGCTAAAAGCACTGAGAGGAAATGGAGTAATCAGCAGCACAACTGAAACAGTATATTTAGTTTTCTTCCAGAAAAGCCAAACCAGACTCCCAAATACCAAATGCCAGCACTCTCTGGCTGGCTGGGGCTGAGTTCCAGGTCCAGGTCTCTAATAGGCAATGGAGAAATGGCTGCTTCAGGCTTCCATCATCCATCGTTATTTTTGAACCATACAGGTAAAAAATAATTTTTCAAAACTAACTTGAAAACTAGGGGCGGGAAGAGGGGAGTGGTTAAGAGTGAGGTTACTGTCTGAACCCCTTCAGAAGAAACTGAGGACCTTAGTACTTGGCGAGTCGCCACCCCCAAAGCACTGGCATCCACATCCACCCACAACCTCCCGGGACGGCAAGTCCACTCCTGCCGGGAGAACAGCCTGTTTCCGGCTGGCAGCACAGGGTGGGCGGCCATCATCTGTGAGACAACTTGAGAGACAGAACCCACCAACCGTTTGTTCCACAAGCACGCTGCAAAGCAGCCCAAGGGCCACTGTGCACCACTGACCCGGGTCACGAGTAGGAAGGCACATACAGCTGGGGCTCTACTTGGTCCTTCAGCCAGTTCTGGCAAGCTGGGGGTTGCACATCTACCTTTTAGGGAAGAAGGTGCCCCAGGCTAGTTTGCAGATCCAAAGAAGCCCATGTATCTTACCTATTTGTTTGCTCGTTTGTGTCTATACATCTGCATCATCCTCTGTCGAAAGACATCAAAAGTGTCCTCTTTATCCTCCTGTCCGTCGGCCCCCAGCCCCTCTCCTTCCGAGGCAGTGCCCCTGTAGAAACAAGAATCAGTCTGCCTTGTACCCGGGCAGGGTGGTTAGCCCAGGGTACTCTCATCTTTAGGAATGCCACCCACAGGCTCTGATCACTTGGTGGCCCATCAAATCATCAAGATGAGCTGTTTAAGTTAAAATCTAAGATATGGCTAGGGAGGCCCTAGGCTGTACTGACCCCATCGCTGCTCATAACTGACTCCTGAAAACTGGGAGAGGTTCTAGGCCTCAATTACACGGAAATAGCACTCAGTTCTGGTGAGGACAGAACAGAGGAGTCAGACAGACAAACGGCAAAGGAGAGAGGCAACCTGTACATGTGGATGGTCAGCCTCATGTCTGAACCTCTACTGATAAAGTCAGAAACATGGCAGTGTTAAGCCACAGTCTAGGCAATGGGGAGTCTGGTCTGGCTTAAGACTAAAAGACTAAGCTATTGCAGCCCCCTCCCTGACATGGGAACCTGCCACCCACCAGTCCCTTTCCCAAACACAGTGAAGCCCACAGTCCTCTCCCCCAGGAACAGTGCCACCCACCACAGTCCGGAGTCCTGTGGGTACCACTACTACGTACACGCTGACTGGCTCCCGGATGCCACCCCCACAAGAACCCAGGCCATGGCCCTCCTTCCAGCCCATCTTCTGGAGCATCTGGAAGCCCAAGTTCTTGTCGGTCAGCTTCTGGTGGGCAAACTCCAAGTCTTTGGGCTTCTGGGCAGAGAAGACATGGATTCAGCACAGCGAGCAGGCCTCATTCCTTTTCAGGAAACAGCTCTAAGCCCTGGGGCTCAGGTCCCCAGACTCCCAAGAGACAAGGCCACAGAGAGCTGCCTGGGCAAGTTGGTGTTCACAGTTCTGGGATCCCCCTTGCTCTGACAGTGACGAGGACTAAGCTTGTAACCCTAGGTCAGACACCATAGTGAACATAGTGCAAGGTGTGGCCAATGTCCTGGAGTCACAACATCCCCCATGAGGGGCTTTGAAGCTGAGCTGCCAGAGCCCAGGTGGGGTGGTTACTAGCCTAAGGCACAGATGGAGCAGCTGAAACCACCAGGCTCTCAGTCCAGCTTCTCAGGTTCATGTGACCAAAACAGCAATGCCAGTGAGGAAAATGGCTGGGAGCATCACGTACCAGGATTTTAGGATCAGTAAACCTACGTAGAGTGCAAACTAGAGTGAGGAAGGGCATTACTAATGGCAAGTGAGGATGTATCATGAGAGAAAGCTATGCAGGGATGAATGGGAGCCTGAGACATAGTGGGAAATGAGCGACTAGAAGAAAGTGGGTTGGAGAAGTGTAAGAAGGCCAGTGTCCCTGCTGACTCATTAACCTCTGTGTACCCTGAGGGCTCTGGCAGCATCTGTACCCTAGAAGCAGCAAGTCTGCAATAAGTCAGAGTGATCTATCTGTTCGCCCACTGTAGAAGCACCCCAAGGATAGGGCTAGAGTTTAAAAGGACCCTTGGGACCTTGTCTCCAGTCCTGGGAGGGTCCCTACTGAGCTAGGATAACCCTATGGGAAAGAGATGATCCTGGGGTTTCCGGAGAAATGTAGACAGCTCCAGGCACGGTCTGTCCTGAGCCACTGAGTCCATCACTGCTTTGTAAGCATGTGTGAGGATGCCACCTTTTTTCTTAAGAGTTGAATCTGGGCGTACCAGTTGTCAGCCCATGATCTGCTCCATCATGCAAGCCCCAAGAAGTAACTCAGGTGAAGGACAAGTTCCCACATGCAAGAAACTGTTCGAGTGGGCACAACAAAGGGTGTGGGCAGTAATTCGTGTCTAAGAGTGATGTTACCTGGTTTCTTTAAAATGCTACAACTTGAGCTGGGAGGTGTGGGACATATGAGGCGAGTCCAAAACCTGCCATCATGCCACTATGATGGATCTTCCCATTACTATCTCTTGCTAATGCACAGGCTGTACAAGCGTGGGAGAGAAAGAACAGCTAATGGAAATGTTAACCACACAGTGAACCAGCTCTCAACACCTTGACAGATTTTGATTCTGACTGTCTCGACTGCAAAGCTCCAACCTCATCATCTCAACCAGCTTCAAACACCTGCTAACCGGATGACCAGTCTGACCTCTACCTTGTGTTCCTGGAGGGTATGTAATGTGCATGTGTACGGCTATGCTCTGTGTGCTCACACCCCAGCAAAACATGGAGATACAGAATCTGTGCACCTTTCCAAAAACTCATCACATTCCTCAAGAGGATTCAGTGGAGCAATCTCACCTTCTTTCTGGACATGGGACGACCCCGGGGCCTGTCATAGGCAATTCGAACTGGCTCATGAACTAGAAGACAAAAAAAAAAGGATAAAGATATATGTGTATGTATGCACTGTCATCCAAAAGGGATAAACTTCAAGCTCACATTCCCCGAGGCCTTCAACTGGCATGTGCCCTGCACATGTTTCCAGAGTGGGAAAGGTCTGAGGACACAGCTGAGATGCACTGTGCTTACTGAGTAGCTACTCAGAAGTAAATCCCCGAAATTTATAATAAAAGGGCTAGTTTGCTATGACAACAGAACAATTCCATGCTTCAGAGGATGAATTATTCCCCAGGTTAGTGTCCCGTTTATGTATGACTCCTCTGGGAGAGGAGTAAAGTCCACATCGAACAGCAACCATGCTTCTCAGCCAGAACATGATTTTTTGATGGCAATCTCATTTCGTCCCCTTGGTCTCTCACAGAATCTGGAGCTCCCAGAACAGAGAAAGCAGACTTTACTGTCTTGGAGGACACATGTGGAGGACACTGTGGTGGTACAACAGCTAGAGTTCTATTTTCCCCTGATTGGTTTTCAAATATAATCTCAGTGGGAGGACACGAGGATTGTGATGGGTTTGGAGAAGTTAGTTCACTGTAGCCCTCACTCACCAGGTCCATCGGCTCCTGCCTGCCCTGCAACAGAACCACAGCCTGAGAGAGTAAGAGGAACAGAAGCCGTGGGAAAGGTGGAGCAAATGTCCACAAATCATGTCCTGGGAAGCACCAGCCCAAAAAGTGAGCTTTTAATTCTGTCCAATGACAGCTTAAAAGACTCAGAACACAGGTCGGAAACCAGGTCAGGGCTGCAGCAGGAGCATGGGGAAGGGAAAGCAGATGGGACACGGCCATTTCTAAGAGTGAATTTTATCTTGTAAGAACTGATCTCAAGAATTCTGATTCTAGGGGAGCTCTGGTGGCCTAGTGGCAAGGAGCTGCAACTACAATCCCAGAGACGAACGGTTCAAATCCACCAGATGCTCTGCCGGGGAAGGAGGAACAATCTCCTCCTGTACCAGTCAGATCTGATTTGACGGTACACTC